TCATCACCTCCAAGTTGTGGTATATTAATTCATCCAATGATTTCTGAGCAAATAAAACTCCAGTTATAAGATAGGCAACAAGAATTTGCGATAGTTCATCTCTATGACAAATCCATGCAAGTCTATGTATAATTTATATCCTGCAAATGGGCTTAGAGTTGCAGAACATTATGAGAGTCCTTTTAAGAGAATAGAATAAAATGAATTCCTTCCCTAAAATTAGGAAAGAAACTTATCAAAAACATAATCGTGATTTTTCAATAGCATTAATGAATGTAAAATAAGCTTAGATTAATTTTAAGAAAACTAAGAAAATAAATTATCGCATGCAAGCTGAGGATATTTTAAAACAAGTCAATGCAAAGTCCAATGCAGTAGTTGTCAAGAGAATCTTTCAATATGACTCTCTAATCTCTATTCCTTTGCTCTTTTTTTCCTTTTCCCTAGCAATGTTAAAAAGACTTTTATCATAAAATTCAGGCTCGTAGCAATCCCTAAACTTCAAAAATGGAAGGGGAAAAAGATGAAGGAAAAAAGTAAAACGAAAAATTACAAATCCAAGTCGCAAAATTTCTGCTTCTTTGTCACCGTGCCAATGACTCATACCTGAAATTAAAAGATGTGAAGAGACAAAACATCAATGACCTTACAGTAAAAAATACAGTTTGACTAAAATCAAAGATTCTTTAACCAAAGTTCATATGTTAAAAAATTTCAATTACTAATACTTTATTGTTTGAGAACCAATAAGAACCATACTAACCTCTTGGTAACTTAGATATCCATCATTCCGACTTCTATGCAATTTTGTAGATGGAAACTCATCACCTATTAAACAAGTGAAATAAATTTTATTAAAAAAAAAGATTATCATTGAAATTTTCCAATGGTTAGTAGTAATTGTACATAAATACTTCAATAATGCATAAAAAAAAAAATCAAAGGTTCATATAAAGGGGGCAACTGCATTTGTGAATATGAGTTCTACAAATTCCATAAAAAATGCCATAGCTTTTAAAGATGTTACTTTGAGAGAATGAGTTCTTCAAATTACAAAAGATGTCATATCTTTTAAATAACACGGTAAAGAATATCTTAGAATTTAGTAAATTAAGCTTGCAAAGAAGAAAATCCGATTTTGAATGAGATTCAGGAATTTTCAGTGGTAAAGAAAGGAACAACTTGAACCCCACACTAAGATTGTTTAAGGAACCTTTCTCTACTCATTAAACATAGAAGGAAAATATAAAATCTATAAATATTATGTTGAACATTCAATACATATGAAGAAGCATAACAAAGAAACTCCATTTTTCTAAAAGTCAGATTCTTGCACATAACATAGAGGGAATCAGTAATTAGAGAAATCAACATACATAATATACCTACTGCTAAATATAGAATGATGAAAAAGTAACCATAAGAATCTTCTATTCCACTTATGAATGCAAGCTGAAACAAAGCCCCTGCATATCCTAATATCATTAACACTCAAAATAACAATGAATCTATAAAGAAACTCCATTTTTCTAAAAGTCAGATTCTTGCACAATAACATAGAGGGGAATCAAGTAATTAGAGAAATCAACATACATAATATACCTACTGCTAAATATAGAATGATGAAAAAGTATACCATAAGAATCTTCTATTCCACTTATGAATGCAAGCTGAAACAAAGCCCCTGCATATCCTAATATCATTAACACTCAAAATAACAATGAATCTATGCATAAAAACAATTGAAAATTTCGATCCGTGCTCCAAACTACTTTATATTCAATCTGTAATGAAATCTCTCTCTTCAACCATGAATTATACACGATCATTAGAAAAAATATGATTAAATGATCGCTAAAATTGAAAAACCAGCGACGAACAAACCCCATTTCTAATCTCAACCAAGTGCATCTATCGAATCGGCCAAATCCCCCTTTAGGAATGCATATTTCAAGAAAGAAAAGAAAACCCAGGATTTAAAAACATATAAAAAAAAGGTGGAAATCAGCCAACATTAATTAACATAAAGAAACAGTAGATACCCAGCGTGTGATTGAAGTCGAAGTATAAGTTTAAATTAAAATTCGAAAGATGATTTTGTTTTCCGAATCAAATGGAAGACACCGATTATCATTCCAACAGTGACGAATGTTAACAATCCGAAGACAATCTTCATAGCGGTGGCCATGGCCTACGGAGGTTGGTGGTGTCCCTTAGTAATACTTCAATAGGGGCAATCGAAACGAAAGTAAAAGCAAATTAAGAAGAAAAAATAACACCGACAAGAACAATCCGCTTTCAACGCCCCTTGATTTTTTTTTCTCTCTCCCCGTTGCCAGTGTGTGATCTGCTGTTTCAAAACTAGTTTACTTTGGGTTGGATCTACTTCTTGTTTATATGTGTTAACAAAAGAATCCGACGACTGTTACACTTGTTTGACTTGTCGTCCCTTGACTACTAGGAACCTCTATTTTCTAATAGCTTCAAAAACTAAAGCGTAACTATTTAATTAGTCATTTTCCTTTCATATTTATACACTTTTTCTCACCAAATTCAAATATTTATGTTTTTGTCACTTATATTGATTTATTAATTTTAATCACTTACGTTATCGTTGTTATATTTAATCACTGAACCATTACTTCCGTTACTTTGGTGACATGACACGTTGGTCAAATGAGTTAATTTTTAGTTTTAACCCTTTACTTTACATAGAATAATAATTTGACTTTAAACTTTAAATAAAGTATCATTTTGACCTTAAACTATAGATAAAATATCAATTTGACCCCTAATTCGACCAAGTCTCTTTTCGGCCACCTTAGCTATCGTCACCGTCATTCAGCATCGCTATCATCATCATTGATTATTAAACTCTAAAATTTACAATTCACTCCTTTTTGACATTTGGATGCGAATCTAGTGTTCGTTTCAACCAGAAAATATATAGAACTTAACAAATCCAGCCTAGAACCCTCTCGCTTCCTTTAAAATTAAACCATAATAATAAAATTATTATTATTTCCTCTAAAAATAAAGACACTCAAAATATAAATATATATCATAATAAAATGTGTAAAATTTGTGTTTATAATATTAATAATATTTTATTTACAAATTTTGTTACGACACATCTTAAATATTTACAAATATTAAAATTCATATTAATATTATAAATATAACAAAAAATTATAACATAACATTATTATAAACAATAACTTATGGATTTAATTATAATATAAATTTAGATTTTGATATACTTATTTGTAAAGGAATATTAATGATAAATCTATTCGTATGGTTTAATTTTAAAAAGTAAAAGAATTGTAGGCTAGATTTGTTGAGTTTCATATATTTTCTGGTGAAATGGATATCAAAATCGCGTTTAAATGCAAAAAAAGAAAGAAAGAAAGAAGAAAGAAAGAGTAAACAATAAATTTTGGGATCTAATAGATGACAACGATGAAGGCCGATGACAACCAATAGTGACCTAAAGTGACAGTGGTGAGTGGTGATGACGAGAGACTGATCTAATTTAGGGGTCAAATTGATATTTCATATAAGTTTAAGGGTTAAATTGATATTTTATCTAAAATTCTAAGTCTAACTAGTATTCATCTAAAGTTTAGGGGTAAATTAAAAATTAACCCCTTTTAACTAATGTTCATGTCATCAAGCTTATAAGAGATAATAGCTCAGTAACCAAAATGTAACATTTGATTATATAAGTGACCAAAACTTAATAATTGATAACATAAGTGATCAAAACTTAATTTTTATTTGAATTTGGTGAGAAAATTGTACAAATATAAAAGGAAGTAACCAATATAATAATTTACCCAAAGCTGAAAATAAAAGTATCACTAAATAAAAGTAGCCAAAAAGGTATTTGGAGCTTATGTACTTCTAAAAAATGTGACATTCGAATTATTTTTTTCAAAAATCAATTAGAATAGTTTATCTTTTGGAAGGGCCAAATTGAGTGCATAAATATTGAATGCCACATTGATCTTTTTAGATAACTACAAGCTTCATGTACCTTTTTTCCATAAAAGTATGATATCAATGATAACTACATCATTTATCATTCAACTATCTTTTTATTCTTGTATTGTCATTAAAATTTATTTATTCACTGAACTTTGAATTTTTTGGTACACTACGTTTTCTCTCTTATATTGATTTTTCTATTATTAATTTTAACTACTTTTATATCTTAAAAGTTAATTATAAGAATTAAATAATTAAAAAACAAATAATGAGAAAAATTTATGTGTTACTGGATCCTGATACTATGGCCTATGTCTTGACAATAGCACGGAGGCTGCTATCTACTGTTCTCAAATATCAAAGTCTATATCAAGAGCCAGTAGGATTCATTGTTGGGCTATGATTGTTAGAGGGAGTAGCTTAATATCAATATGCTGTTTCTTTTATCCCAAATTCTTCAATTTTTTAGAAATCTTATGTTTAGTTGGTAGAATCTGTCTTAGCCTGTAATTTGATTACTTGAGTTGGAGTGTGTGTGATGAAGTGGGTTGGTGCAACACAAGGGGCTCTTCAAAGATCCTGAAATCATTTTCTGATGAAAGGATCCCTTATTGGTGTGATAAAGTTTTCGCGTACCCCACTACCTTTGCTGCATAAAAGTAGTGTGATGGGATTATCTTCTATTTTCTGGTCTTCAGAAGGTATCGGTTTTCAAGTAAAACCATTCAAAATTTTGATTTCACAAATATGCCTTGCCGTTGGTGTCAAAAAGTGAACAAGGACAATTTTCATAATTCTTGTCATTCTCTTTTTTTTCTTCTAGAATACAAATATAGGAGATAATTAAGCTTTTTGTAAACCAGTTTGGACAGTTTGGTTGGTGTTAAATACATTATTGCCCATGATTGATTAATTATGAGAAAATAAATTCAATATATGCACGTGAAACAGTGTCGAATATTTTCTGTAAATTGCTGTGGCATAGCTTGAGGATGACTCAATGAATTAATATATCTTATTACCACGTCTTTGGTTAGATTATGTATTTATGAAATTCCTATTTCTCAATTAATTTTTATCTGCCTATTTTGCTTCATTTTTGGTTGTTGCAGGTATCTTATTGAAGAACAGAGTTAATATTGCTAGTGGCACTCCAAGTAGGTTAGTCGCGAGTCCTTTCCATCAAATGAAATATTAGTTATCATTTAAAAAATAATAACCGAGTAGTTTATGCAAAATCAACTTTGAATAGATTAAATTTATTTGTTTGGTGGAGAAAGACCATTTACTAATATGTAAAACAAAGGGACTAAGAATTGTGTTGTTATAGAGGTATCAAATTGATGAGCTATAGATATATAATCATGTGAAAGCACTATAGTAATAAGACTGTCATGCATCAGAAATGAATTTGGTTCATGTTAGGATGTTATTCATTTGCTCAAGGTCTTGATGTTTACTTTACCAGTTAACGAGGAGACTCATTGATCATGCTTTCTGATCTGTGAAATGCTTACTTTAAGGTCCTTGTCCCCTTTGAGAAGTCCTTTGAATGGGTTTTAGAGGAAAGGAATGTGTAATTTGAAATTCAAGCTATAATGGTGATTATGATCTATATGAGGGGTTACGAGTACTGAATTGAAAGTAAAATAATTCGCAAGAGACATCACACATTGACATTTTCATAGAACAAGGATGAGACTTGTGAGTTTCGCAGCATAGAGTGTTAAGCAGCTAATTATCAACATATGCAAAATACTGGTGTGGTTAAAATCTGAATTTTATGACAGATGTAGCAATATTAGGAAAATTAAGATTAGAAACAAGTGCATATAGGCAACAAGGGTTGTCTTAGAGCTGTTCGCAGGAGATAGAATTATGTTGGTTTGGACATATGAACTATGTTGCTCGGACCTGGATAGTTATGTGTCTAAAACTGGTATGTTCAAATTTTCTGGTTTTCCTATTTATTTGGAGGGCCATATGCCAATACCCATATCCAAAAATGTACTTATATTTGGAAAAAAAATGAAGATTCATAGTAACATAGCTCTTGAGACGCTCTAGTAGATGATCTTCTAAGAAGATGTAACAAAATGGAGGACGACAATGCCAAAATGGAAATGGAGACAAGATGTGGATGGAACTCTAGGAAAGAGCCTTCAATTTATAGTAGAACTAATTGATTTGCACCACACATCCCAAACTATGGTCCTTAAACTTTTGATCATTTCAATTTCATCCCCAAACTATGTCTATCATTCTAAATCGGTCCCCAAACTTTTAAACATTCCAATAAGATCCCCCCAAAATCATTCAAACGTTTGGGGAACAATATAGAATGATGGTCATAGTTGGGTGACAACTGTCGTTTTGATGTCAAAATAAATTCCTTCTTCTCGGATAATAATTAAAGGAAAATTCGAGTAGGGTCGAATCCAGGGACTTAGAAAATTATAAATTTATGTCTGATTTATTTATGTCAGGCGTGAAAAGTAATAAAAAGGGGGGGTTTTGGTAGAAAGGTAATAAAAGCGATTAAATAAATAAAAACAATTGAAGTAAAAATAAGATAATAAAGACTGTAAATAAATACTGTAAAAATAGCCTCGAGCTTCGCTTTGACTCAATTTCCTTAGATCATCGAATAAGATTTTCTCTTCGGGATTCACGTCAGTTACTTTGTCTACAAGGGCTATCCTTGTGACTCTATCTTGTATACCGGATACCCAAGGCAATCTTTGATTCCGGCTTCGGTAATTGATTCTAACAACATCTATTGTTGTAGATCAAATACCGTTTAAGTTCGTGGCGACCGACTTGGATTGTTGTTTCTATAACCGTCAATTCCGATCTCAATTCCCTCTTGGCGAAGCTATCTCGCCAAGTGTGTTCCCTAGGAAGTCGAATTGCTTTCTATAAGTCGAATCTTCCTCCCACACGTTTTAATCGCAACAACCTCTTGACCAAAGTCAATCTTTGATTTTGAAAGCTGTTTTGATTTGTGAAAAATAAGCGCAGAGATTGAGAGAGAGATTCCGAAGATATTAAGGGACCGTTTCAATTCTCCCGTTGGAATTGAATCATCGCGACAGCTCTCGGCTTGTGAAAACAAAACTTGTAAAGTAAAAAGAAAAGATTTAATAAAAACTAGATAGAAAAGAAGAATGTATTCTGAATGATGAGCTTAGGCTTACCCCAAGTGGGTATTTATAGCCTCTCAAAGCCTAAAGGATAAACAAAGAAAATAATAAAATAATACAAAAGATAATTGTTTTTAAATTTAAATTCAAACTTAAACTAGTCTCCTAATGCAACTCTACTCGTCAATCTTCCAGAAGGCGTGCGGAAGAAGTCTTCTAGAAACCGCCGCTGACTGGACCTTCTAGAAACTGCCACGTCATACCGCGTCGTGCCCAGAGTCGTGCCCATGTCTCCAGCCGTGACCAAATAATAAAAAAATGCAGAATTCGCCCGTTTTGTCACAAATTCTGAAAAACAATGACCTGTACGAAAACAAGCACAACACGACCAAATCAACAGCAATAAATTCACAAAACCGAAGAAATAACGAGCAAATATTAACTATTCTGAACACTCATCAAATTCCCCCTCACTTATCTCATGCTTGTCCTCAAGTATGATTAACCCAAATCAGTCAAAAACTTCATTAAACGTTCTTTCTCAAGTTTCACATTTAGGGAAGCAAGGTAGAGACCACAATAACTATTCAAGTCAAGAAATCAATCAATTGAACATCACCAATTAGAACAAGTCAAGTGCAATTGTAATATCCATTCATTCATTAATTTCAATGCTCATAACTCAATACCTTACCGGGATTCACTCAAATCACTCCATGTGTTTGGGGTAAAGAAACGCTCAATGTCAGAATTTACACAGTATTACCATAAGCCTGTAAGTAAATCAAATCTCCACTACTAATAAGAACAAGATGCATAAATCAAAGGGTCTTTTATTAGTTGTAACGGGGCTTAGGTAAAGGTGGGGAAAAGGCTAAACATAAGGCTAAATGTTCAAGGCAAGGAACTAAACAATAATAATCTCAACTCCATCAAAACATTAAGCACAACAAGATAAAAAAAATAAAATATCAAACAACAAATTTCTTATCGAAATGCATTTTTCAAAATTTTGTTGTTTTGTCTTGCATTTTTTTTCACGTCTTTTTTTGTGTTCTTTTTTTCTTTCGAACAGTCTCTCTTTTTTCGAACAGCTGCTTTTTGTTTGTTTTTTTTTTCATTCAACATTTTTTCGATGGAGAAACAATGGTAAAAATTATTCACTTGCCCTTAAAAAGGTAGAAAAGAGGGATAAAATAAAAATGCTCGGGTTTATGAATATGGTGAAAACAAAGAAGCGGGAATAAGCTCAAAAGTGTTTAACTAAGGGAAAATATGCATGGGTAGGCTATTTAGTGGGGAAACGGAATGGTTAATCCTAAGGTGCCCAAATCATTTTTAAGCATCATGTTCATGTGTAATCTCGACAGTATTTAACATGCAGGTTCTAGAATACCAATGCCAAATTCGACACACTCAATCAAACAAAATGAGAGCGAAAATGATATGCTCGTAAAGGCTCAAATCTCACCAAATTGTTTCATGCATTGAGCTAATCACATTTCAACCAACAAAGTTATGGAATATCACAAAAATACCAACTTATCACAATTCATGTTATTCGCTATCAAGAATATCCTAACCTAAACAATTATGTGTTCCCAAGCAAGCATAGCATTCCAAAAAATTTCAACAAGACAAAGATAATTAATGAAATTTCCGACCAATTCAACCAATACATACTAGATTCAAAGCATAAAGATAAGCGAAATGAAATTCAATCCTACACTCTACTCCCCCTCACTTAAAGCGTTTTGCCTCAAAACGAAAAAAAAAATTAAAGTGCAAGAGAAAGAACAGAGTACTCCCCGGATTTACTGTCGACCGGTCTCCTTAGAAGTGTGCTAACGTGCACCGTTACATGCTCCTAGGGGTAGAATTTGGCATTGTTCGGACGATAATCTCTCAATTCTTCGTTGTTTAAGTTTGAAATTCTTGCAAAATTAAATACAATATGCTTAATCGGAAAAAAAAATAAAAGAAAAAATAAAAATAAAAATATAACAGAATTGAAAACAATGGGTTGCCTCCCATGAAGCGCTTTATTTAACGTCATTAGCTTGACGACCTGGTTCAAACTACAGGTTTCGTGACAAACACTTCCGCTTCATTTGCTTTCTCCAACTAAGAAATTCCTTATGAGAAATTTGAAAATTCTCACAAAGATTTCTTTGGATATTTCCCAATTTTAAAAACTTGTCCAGAAGAATGGCCGTCAAAACATCTTTTTTACCAAAAAATGATTTCTTCAAACGGCTCCTTGATGATTTCGACTTAATTTTTGGTGCCTGCAAAAAGGAAAGTAAATCTTTAGTTTTTAAAGGAGTTGAGATCAAATTTGAATCAACAACTGAATATTTTCAACTCCCTTATGTCGTCTTTTTTATCATCTGATTCCTTGCATAAATCGTCAACAAAGTTAGATTCATCGTCAACAAGTTCAAAAATGCCAATAAAATTAATACTATGAACGTTATCCGGATATCTCATTGCTTTATAGACATCAAATTTTAAGATCTCACCGTCGAACTCCATAGTAAGAATACCGCTTTGAACATCAATCTTTGCATTTTCCGTGCTCAGAAAAGGACGACCGAGGAGGATTTCAGAACCAATGTTGCTACGATCATTTTCCATATCAATCACATAAAAATCAGCAGGGAAAATTAAGTTTTCTACCTCCACTAGAACATTTTCTATGAGTCATTCAGGATAAATTATTGATTTGTCGGCTAGTTGAAGTGTAACTCTCGTCTCCTTCAAAGGCTTGGTGGAAATTAAATTATAGACGGAGAGAGGCATTACATTGATAGAGGCACCTAGATCGCACATAGCTCGCTTGATTTTAACCTCACCAATTTTACAAGGTATTGAAAACATACCTTGGTCTTTATACTTCGGTGGAAGCGGTCGTTGGAAAACTGCTGAGACGTTCGCGCCTAAATCCACTTTCTCGACCCCGGTAAGCTTCTTTTTAGTCGTACAGAGATCCTTCAGAAACCGATAATACCTTGGAACTTTCCGGATAACTTCGAAGAGAGGTATGTTAACTTCTACCTTCCGAAGTACGTCTAATATTTCCTTTTCCTCAACTTTTTTATCCTTTTTAACTAACCTTGATGGAAAAGGCGGTGGCACATCATAGGGAGATGGCTTCGGATCGTCCGTTTGTTCTTCATCGTTCTCTTTCTGGGATTATGCGTCAACTGCTTCTTCACTTTGGGAGTTCGAATCTTCTTCTTTCTTCCGGGATCTTGCGCTTACCTCCTTAGGGTCTGGTTGTTCAACAATTGTACCGCTTCGGAGGGTGATGGCGCTAACATTCTCTATTGGATTCGGTTCAGTTTGTGATGGTAGCCTCCTTTGTGACTCTAATCTCCTCACGGTTTGAGCCAGTTGGCTCAATTGCTTGTCCATCTCTTGGAAGTGGGTTTCAGTTCGAGTTTGGAATTTCTCCTGGGATAGTGCTAACCTCTCGACAATAAATTCTAATGATGACTTCTGCGGTTGTTGCGGTGGTGGAGGTCTCGCTTGATAGCCTTGATTCGGTCTCGGGTTCTGCGCATAACTGAAGTTCGGATGGTCCCTCCATCCTGGGTTGTATGTATTACCATAAGGATTATAAGCTCTTTGGGGAGGTCCCGGGAAGTTTTCGACTACGTTGACTTGAGCTGTTGCATCGTCTTGAATCAGTGAACAACCGTCTGTTGGATGATCAGGCAATGCACATATTCCGCATACTCGGTTTTGTCCTGTCTTTCTTGCAACAAGAGAGTTTACGACTTCAGTTAACTTATCTATTTTACTTTCCAAGGAAGATGAACTTATCTCATGAACCCTTCGAGAAGGTTCATTATTTGCGCGGAACTGTTGGGAATTTTCCAGCCATCGTCGATATTAAGTCTCTAGCCTCGGTAGGAGTCATATTCACCAAGGCTCCACCGCTAGCAGCATCGATCATCTTCATTTCCAGGGGAGATAATCTTTCATAGAAGTATTGAATGAGTGTTTGTTCGGTTAGCCCATGTTGTGGGCAACTAGAACACAACTTCTTAAACCGCTCCCAGTAGTCGTAGAGCGACTCTCCATCAAGTTGCTTGATTCCAAGTATTCTCCTTCGTAGTTCACTTACTTTTGCTGCAGAGAAAAACCTGTCAAGAAAAAGGCGAGTCATATTAGCCCATGTAGTAACAGAATTAGGAGGAAGATAAAATAACCACTCCTTAGCCGAGTCGGCTAAGGAAAAAGGGAAAGCTCTAAGTTTTATTTGGTCCTCGGTTACTCCCTGTGGTGTCATGCTAGAGCAGACCATGTGAAATTCTTTGAGATGTTTGTGTAGATCCTCGTTTGGCAATCCGCGGAATGTAGGGAGGAGATGAATAAGGCTAGTTTTCAACTGGTATGGAGTTTCGTCTTGGGGAAAATTAATGCACATAGGTCCTTGTTCAGTGGGTGCCGCGGCTAACTCCCGAATAGTAGGTTCGGCCATCGGATTTGTATTACCTGAATTTGATCTTTCTTCTGGATCTAATTGTTTTCTCCTTCTTTCCCGAAGTGTCTGTACGTGGAGTCTCCTAGCTTCAGCTTCGATCTCCGGGTTGTACTCCACTAATGTGCCCGGATTAGTCCTGGTCATAAATCAAAAACAAACAAAAATTAGTAACTTTGGCGAAGTCCCCGGCAACGGCGCCAATTTGACAACTGTCGTTTTGATGTCAAAATAAATTCCTTCTTCTCGGATAATAATTAAAGGAAAATTCGTAGCGTAGAGAAGTAGGGTCGAATCCACAGGGACTTAGAAAATTATAAATTTCTGTCTTATTTATTTATGCCAGGCGTGAAAAGTAATAAAGAGGGGGGTTTTGGTAGAAAGGTAATAAAAGCGATTAAATAAATAAAAACAATTGAAGTAAAAATAAGATAATAAAGACTGTAAATAAATACTGTAAAAATAGCCTCGAGCTTCGCTTTGACTCAATTTCCTTAGATCATCGAATAAGATTTTCTCTTCGGGATTCACGTCGGTTACTTTGTCTACAAGGGCTATCCTTGTGACTCTATCTTGTATACCGGATACCCAAGGCAATCTTTGATTTCGGCTTCGGTAATTGATTCTAACAACATCTATTGTCGTAGATCAAATACCGTTTAAGTTCGTGGCGACCGACTCGGATTGTTGTTTCTATAACCGTCAATTCCGATCTCAATTCCCTCTTGGCGAAGCTATCTCGCCAAGTGTGTTCCCAGGAAGTCGAATTGCTTTCTATAAGCCGAATCTTCCTCCCACACGTTTTAATCGCAACAACCTCTTGACCAAAGTCAATATTTGATTTTGAAAACTGTTTTGATTTGTGAAAAATAAGCGCAGAGATTGAGAGAGATATTCCGAAGATATTAAGGGACCGTTTCAATTCTCCCGTTGGAATTGAATCATCGCGACAGCTCTCGGCTTATGAAAACAAAACTTGAAAAGTAAAAAGAAAATATTTAATAAAAACTAGAGAGAAAAGAAGAATGTATTCTGAATGATGAGTTTAGGCTTACCCCAAGTGGGTATTTATAGCCTCTCAAAGCCTAAAGGATAAACAAAGAAAATAATAAAATAATACAAAAGATAATTGTTTTTAAATTTAAATTCAAACTTAAACTAGTCTCCTAATGCAACTCTACTCGTCAATCTTCCAGAAAGCGTGCGGAAGAAGTCTTCTAGAAACCGCCGCTGACTGGACCTTCTAGAAACTGCCACGTCATACCGCGTCGTGCCCAGAGTCGTGCCCATGTCTCCAGCCGTGACCAAATAATAAAAAAATGCAGAATTCGCCCGTTTTGTCACAAATTCTGGAAAACAATGACCTGTACGAAAACAAGCACAACACGACCAAATCAACAGCAATAAATCCACAAAACCGAAGAAATAACGAGCAAATATTAACTATTCTGAACACTCATCATTGGGTATGTGTAGTGCAATTAACTCTCTATATTACTTAATATGAGTCTAAATGGCATAAATCATCCTTGTAGTTGACTTCATATAGTGGAAAATGCATTATTTGTTGTCAGCTGTTTTTTTGTTGGATGAAAATTAATCTATCAAAAAACATAAAGGATGAATAGTTACGCAGAAGATGAAATGCTGAATATGTTGATTTTTTTGTAGGATCGATTTTCTGAAATATTGAATTCAATTTCTAAATCATTGTGTGTCACGTTAATTTTATTTATGTCAACAGGTTCTAAATAAAATGTTAAATCAATAGTTGATTACATGATTCTGTCATGATTTTAGTTGGCATGTGATGTGGCAAACCGGCAATGTTCTTCTGCTTGTTTTCCAACATTACTGATTGAGTCATGGTTTTCTGGTTCTCTTGTAACCTGAATTGCAGAATCAAAAAGTTAATTGACATTGAGGCATTGGGGCTTTCACGTTTATCAGTACTTCTGCTTGATATTCGCACAGATGTCAAAGGCTATTCCTTGCTTACACTTCCCCAAGTCAGGTTTGTTGACGAGCTAACTTATATGTTACATTATTTTCCTCTCTGTTCCATTTCATTTTATTTGTTTGTCTATAGATATCGTTATCTCATCTTTCACCAATGGTGTTCTTAGGAACATGCTTGGTCCCTACCCTAAACTTCCATGCTACATTTGGATGGATTTGGAAACTATGAGCCATGTTTGACTCATTTATTGATTTGTTTGTTTATTGGCAGAGATGAGTTCTGGGACTTGTATAAGAACTACTTTCACCAGCAAGTCGTTCAAGGCGATCTGCGCATCTGTCTTTATGGTCCGATTCCAAATGGTAATGAATTTAAGGGAAAAAGTGTAGAATTAGCTGAAGGAGATAAAGAACCCTAGATTCATTAAAAAAATATGGTGTTGTGCATGTATCATGCATTTTTGTTTTAGAAAAAGGTTAAGTTACATAATTTTTATCGTCATCCTTTGTTTAGAAATCTATTATTCATGAATTTCACTTTCATAGCCTGTTATATTAGTCAATTTTCATGTTTCTTCCTTAAGCCTCAAAGTCTCTGATCTAAATCATAATCACAAAAGAATATATAGAAATTTGGGCCTGGGGTGACTGGTTACCTTCAATGATGAATATTTCCATAAATGAACCTCTGCTTGTTAGCCACTATCATTTTTATTTTTGTTTCGGCCACTGGGTTTTGTTCAACATTATTTCCTTTTTCAATTGCAGTATTTTGAGTTTCAAGGAGCTTTATATATCTTGGATGAACTTTGCTTTTTCATCCATGCATAATATTTAAACAAAAAAGAAATACAACGCATCTGCATTTTTTGTAGTATATTATTGGGTTTTAGTGAAGAAAATCCATGTACCCCGATTTGCTCGTAATGACATTGCTTTTCTAAATCCCATTTCTATGAGCATTAATGTCGCAGAGATGATTTTGGAGTTTCATCAAGTTTAGGGTAGGGGGTTGAACATGCTCATTGTGGAATGTCAATTCACATTAAAGAATAATGAATGATTGAACATTCTTGTGTTAGTGAAAAATGTATAAAAATTATTTTAATTAGTTTATTTAAGAAAATTAGTAATTATTGATAAAAATAAAAAAGTAATAATTAATGTTCAATTAAGTTTTTATTTAGATTTAGGAGTCCTTCGGTTTTATATATGATCTTAATAATCGATACTTCCAAGTCCTTTTTGAATCGGTATTTATGATTCCTTAATAAATTTCAATCACAATATACTTACGGGTCCATTTACTCGCCAATGTAGGATATGCTTCTTGCATTACCGACGAAACAAACCCTGAATGTTAAATGAATACCAAACATATCAATTGAATTCCACATTACCATCTAAAATATAAAAGGCAGAACATATTACATGACAGACACTAATTCTTCATTCCCATCAAAAGCCAAAACATATGTTACATGACAGACACTGAATTTTAATAGGGAAATCTAGAAGAATTAGCAATTTCTTTTTCCATTTTCCAACTCAGTCACTTCTCAAACTAGGGAAACAATGTCACTCCATTTATATACAATTTTGAGTTGTTTACCTCTACCTTTTCATTATTAAGTCAAGCTAATCCAACTAAATTAGTCTTGGCTTCAAAATTTGGAAATCAGACAACTTTGTTTCCCTAAACCTGTCTACCAATCATCATAAGCTTTGTTTGCACCCGCATGTACACGTTTCCAATTCTTTGTGGAGTTTCTGCAAAAAGTTGAAGTATAAATGCCCAACATAAACTTGAAGAAAAGTTGCCAAAATATTGAGGTTGGAAGGCATTTTAGACATATTCTAATGGCAAATTAGTTTACAACTGGTCCCGAATTATGGATAAACTGAATTCGGAGAATACATAGACCTATACGCATGGATGGACTAAAATTTTAAATTATCATATATATATATATATATATATATATATATCAGAATTTTCTAAGTTTGTATTCCCCTAAATTCTCAAGTTTGTCCCTCTAACATAAAATCCTACATCTATTCCTACATGTGGGTAACTTGCAATATATTATCCAATTTGATTAAAAAAATCTTAAGATTTTGTCCCACAAGAGACACATGGCAAGACTGTTTTAAGCATCTATTTCTACCATATATACTTTAAATTTCCCAGTGTGGGATTAGGGGGATGCCCATGGATTCCAAGCCTTAATGATATGTTTTTGGCCAAGAGAAAATTTATTGAATGTACGCTACCATGCACACGAACATCATAGTTAGATTCCATATTCATTATCCACAGCACATCTGCATCTATCACGTTCAGAAAACATCATGATGATGATGTTTCAAACTCAGCTTGACATATTTACGAACCTGAACTTCATTTTGAAGGCCTTTAATATGCTGCACAGCCAAGTCCAGCATATCTGCATAGCTCGTTTGCTGCAAGAAGATTTTAAAGATGTCACTGTCTGAAATAAAATTTTGGACCCTTTTCACCATAACTTGAAAACCACAATTTCACAAGGTAATGAATGATTTGAAGCAACCTTGTATATAGATTCAACATAAGGGCTAGAAAAGAAATATGTTATTACCTTATCCATGTTAGGAATAAGCTCTTCTAATTTCTTCAGTTTCCCACTTATTCTTGTTCTTCTCTCCTGTACATACACAAGAAGTTTTAATGATGGTGGATATGATTTCATTCTTTATAGGATAAACGTACATTTATACTATTGTTGTTGATAGCCCTGAAAAATGTTCCACGTGTGCAAGGTATATAAGAAAGAAGTTGAACTTTCTGAGACAGAAATTGCAGCTCAATAGAACTGGCTATTTGAAAAGACTATAGGTTGGTCTAACAACCTTCACTAACATCTCTAGATTTTCCCAAGAATAAACAGTTTGGTTTCTGAGCAGCTATAGCAATTCCCTCTTGGATCTTAACTTACTCTTTCAGCAATGCTTCGAGGGTGAGTGGCGCAGCCACGCTTGGCTCGGATTTTGCAAGGCACAGAATCTTCAGGAATATGCAGCAGCTTTTCAACTGTGGCCATCTCAAGTGTTGTTTGGGGTAAGCTAAACTGAAATAAAGATCAAATGGAATATATGAGGCCGATGCTGAGAAGTAAATGACATGACTGTAAAGCACTTTGATATTCATCGATGTGATGGAAATCTACTCAATGGTGCTACCACTAGCTGCAAATCATGCTTCTATTAGGCAAACAACCATATTGAGCTAAGGATGAGAAATAATAGACTCCTAAATGTTCATTTTTCTTGGGAAACAAACACCATTAAGTTCTTCCTTCATCTACCTGAGTTTCCAAGCCATTTAGACAGTTGTAAAAATCACCATCAATATTTTTAGCCCTCTTGCTCGGTGGGGCAGAGAACACAATGGAGTTTGTATTATCCCATGAATCCATTCCGAAGCCAGAAGCAGCAAATGAATGAGCGGCACTTTGGTGGTTACTGCTAGAGCTAACACCATCAACAAGATCCTCACTTACTTCAGTGATCTGAGAAAGAGAATCTTGTCTAGTGAAGCTCAATTGGGACTTCATCCTTGCCACTCCATGGCCACCGTTACCACTGCCTTGAGAACTATAATTTTTGTTGCCCATTGTAACAGAAAAGCCTGAAATGATCATTTTTAGATTTTTCTGCAACAATACATGGTCCATTCATAGAAAAATAAGTTACATAGCTTTGGAATAGTTGAAAATTGAAATACACTATGTTACTCTTAACTCTTCCTTGTGCCCAATACGTATAAATAAAATCTATCCCGACATGGGTATAGGGAAATGATCCTCCAAACAGATACATATCTAAATCCGATTGAATCCGAATAAGTTGAGAAATATATAATTTTTCTGTGAATTTTATTTGAATCAATAAAATCTATAATGTAGTAAACAGTTGACTCTAGACATGAAAGAAAAGACCAGTAAATATAGTTTTGGTGCAAAGTCGTCTTGAATGAGATGAATACAATTTCAATTTTCTTAGTCATTCCACATGTCTACCGTGCCAAAAGGACAAATAATGTGGTCAGTATTTAGTTATATGATTATTTAAGTCTTAATTTTCAAAGAAAAATAGTAAACATGAATTTAGATATAAAGTTACTAATATATATATATACAAGCCGTGATACTCTGAAACTCTAAAATGTATGATATAATTAGGGATAGGCGTAGGATTATATATTAGGGACAAATTTCTAAAGTTTTAGAAATAGACAAACTCATAAAATTATGGAGGGTGAAAACAAATTTTCAATAGAAAATACATAAAAAAATCTAAAATATATAATAATTTTAAATTTTCAAGAGAGACGCCTACCCCACCCATCCCCCTCGGTCCATCCCCGGATATAATGTATGTTGAATATAAATATATATTTTTTAAAATATAATTACATATATATAAGTATTTGAATGAATATATCTTTATATTTAAATCAAAATACACATATTTTAAAACAATAAGAATGAAAACAACATAAAATAAACTTATGAAATTTAAAAGGTTATTCAACTTTTCCTAACCTATACAACTGTCCTTTGTATGCATGGTTTAGTCTAGGAAAATGTTAGTTGGACTTTTAATTTCTCTAAAATATTTGTGTTGGACATTTATAATTGATCAATATTTTGATATGAGAATAAAATATGATCTAAGATTTTTTTTAAATAAACGAGATAAAATTATAAATTTTTAAGAGATCAAAATTAAAAATTTTATATTAAAATACAATATTTTTATTTCAATCAAAGAGCCAAAAATCCTATTTGTTTTAGATCCAGCTTTATCAATTAAATATATACTCGTACTCGATATATTCATCATAAATTCAATGACATGGGTGAAGGTACATTAGTCACTAGATTTGTAGATATGAACAACGCCAAGCTACAAGTTCACTGAAGTAATGTCAGATTGGGGCACATCTTACTTTATTCCAACTTGTCCAACTTGCACATCATAAGGCATATATTTTATGCATCTACATCGATTATGATAAAGTAAAATAAAAGCATAATGTTTGGATTCCTATGAAATAATAAATTGGTAGGGGCACGTGATAGACAGGGATGACCCGATAAGAGAATGGGTAGGGACGATCGTTCTCCTAAAAATTTTAAATTTTTATATATTTTAAATTTTTTATATTTTCTATTGAATCTCTCTCTTAACTTTGCCTAACCAACCATTAAATCTATTCTTTCGTTCTTCTATTTCTACTGCCAGCATATAGGAACTTGAGTGTAATTAATGAAAGCTTTTGGATAATTTATTTCTCCATTACCTAACTTTATAAACTTTCAAAGTATTAAAAGTGTCAACAACAAAATCCCATGTCCCACTCTTTACTTCAAATTGTCATCATCTTTTGCAACATTTAGCTTTGAACAATACAATTTAAAGATGATCAAAAAGAAAAGTATAGGATGTATTTCTTTCATATAATTCATGTTAAGAAAAAAATTAAATTTTTATGTTTAATTGACATAAAATGACTCAGTCAACTTAACATATCTTTAAAGACAATGTAAAATGGATTTGCGTATTGAAGAAAAGTATATATAAATATATATATTTTTTCACTTCAAACCATAAACATACAAAACAATATTATTTTATGTTTTTAATATTAATATAATATTTTTATTTTAAAATATTTAAAATATATAAAATAATAATATTGACTAAATTATTGTAATGTTTTAAAAATAATACAAATAATTTATTTAATAAATAATATTTTTATATTTGACATTTATCATGAATATTTAAAGAAAACCATTCTTTTAAACTAAAACCATTTCCATACGTGTACATAAAAAAAGTTGTCAAAGAGACAACCTACCCTTACTGGGCGTTGATAATTCTGGGGCAAAATGGACAGAACAAAAATTAGGTTTCAAATTAAGATAAAAAAGTAGGTGTAAAAATGAAACTTTAATGTAGTGGAGGGAAAAATATGAATAAAACCTAAAAAGGGTTACCGTAAACAACTTATTTTAATGAAACAAGTGATAAAAAATGATAGAATGTACTTAAATGTTAGTAAAAAAACAACAATTGCGATATCTATTAATTAGTTGATTAATAAAAAATATTTATATTATCTTATTCATATATTTAAATCTTAATATTTATTTTAAAATTATAATATCTCTCTACTTAATAAAAAAATTATGATTACAAATTATATTTTTAAAATAATCCAATTTTGCATCTGTCAAATAACTAAAATGTTTCATCAATATAAAAATTGGACGTTGAAACTCTTAATATAACATTTGGAGATAAATTATATAAATTAACAAAATGAAACAGTAAGCCGTTAGTTTAAATAAAAGAGTCCAAATTATGTTAGTGCCAGCTTTCCTTTAAAGGTGAGATTCATTATTAGCCTAACATTTGCTATTAAATTAAATAGAAACATACATGTTGTCAACGCCTTCAGCCATTCCGGTGAAATTATTTTCAGTCGAAGTAAAGCCACCAATCAAATGAAAGAGGTCGTGAAAAGTCAAAAGTACCCCTAACTGGATAATGATTAAGCAGATATGAGACAAAACGGTCGCTTTCGAAAAAAAAAGAGGGAAGGAGGCATTACCGTTTTCCGACGTGAAGTGACTAAGGAAACCGGCAGGGGAGCTGCGTTGTCTGACAAGAGAGGAAGAAGAAGAAGGTCCAGAATAAGATCCATGTGGATGATGCGGAGGTGGAGGAGGAGGAGCGGACGATTTAGGCTCTCGTGGATTGTTGGACGAGCTGGCTTTACATGTTGACTCAGATGTTAGAGAAGAGGAGTCGGCGGCGGGGAGGTAGTGGCCGACGAGATTAAGATCAGCGCCGATGACGGAATCGATGGCGTTGCTGAGGAAGGAACCGGGAGCTGAGCCGTAACGGGTCAGACCGGATTGGCCCATGGGTTGTTGAGAGGAAGATGGTGGATACATGGCGTTGGTTAGCTGAAGAAAATGGAAAATTTGGAAGCTAAAAACTAAAAAGAAGGTTGTATTTTCAAAGCCAAGTGGAGTATATAAAAAAAATAAAAAGTGAGGGATACAGATGACTGATTGGGAAAATGTCATGTGAAATTTTGTAGCGGCATAATTAAAAAATTTAAATTAAGAATTTTTTTTTAGAAAAATAAATAAGGATAATTTGTAAATCTTAATTTTTTAAGAATGACAATTTTTTTTAAAAAAATAATGTTAATATATAAATTAAAAAGGATAAATTACACAAATGACATTAATATTTAAGTAAGTTTTTGTTTTTTTTACTGAAAATTTAAAAGTAACAAATTAGTCAAGATGATTTTATAATATTCGTCCGGGAATGATCCTAACTGATATGGAACCCATCCGCACAAAAGGAAGCAGTAGCCTTCTTCGTATGATACTATAGACTTTCTGTAATTTCAGTTGCCACTGTTGCAATGGAAAAGGTTTGCATTGGCTGCAGCAATGTTAATCCTAGCTACTGGAGCTGTGATTGTTCAACTTGATTTTTTTCTGCATATACATGTGGTTTTCTTCTTCTTTTTGTTCCTTTCTTTTCCCACTTTCCCTTAAAATTCAATAAAACCATCTCTTTTTCTATATGCATTAGCTACAAAATTATGCAAGCATATTTGCCTCTGTTCACATCCAGAAAATCATTTTGAAACGTGCATGTTTCGTCTTAATGGTTCGATTTGACCAATTAAAGTGCTCTAATATTTTGTGTGGTGTTTCTGACCCATGTATTCAGTAGACCAGTTGTCTTTTCAAAGCCTCTATTTTTAGCTACTGCACTCATGAGCTTCTTCTTAGTAGTTATAGAGTTGTTTAAGGTAAATGTTGCTCACTATACTAATGAATCCATGTATCTTCTCATTTGTGTTTGATTTTAGTCCTACAACTCATTTAATAATTCACGAGCAAGATATACTTGATATAATATTAATTTGGTGAGAAGCATTTGGTTGCTACAGTCCTGAGGTTTTACAGCCTTAGGTTCCCAAAATAAGGGGCGCATCATTGTCGCAGTAGGCGTCGATCAAAACCATGGTTTCATCGTGCGACCAATAAATCACCTTAGTTTGGTGTTGCTTGAAGGGTGATTCACGTAAATATAGTGGAGGTGGTGAGGTATTTAAAAAAAATGAAAATTATAAAGTTTTTTTTTGAATAAATTAGATATAAAATCATTGTTTTATGACTTTTTTATGTTTTAGTGACCAATTTGTTATTTTTAAAACTTTAAAACAAAATTTACTCAAAAATTAATAATTATTTGTGTAATTTACCCTTTTTAATTTTATATATTTATTATATATATTAGTAATTATTTAAAAATTTAACGACAATTAATCTTTAATAACTATATTTTAATTAAATAAGATAAAATTAATTAAATATTATTTTTAATTCAATAAAAATATACAAAAATTAAACGAAAATACCTTGTATAGTTCGCCCAAATATTTTACGTCGGGTATTATATATATATATCTGCCATAATTCACGTGCTGTTAATTTTTTTCATGTTTTGCCCAATTGGACGATAATTGAGTAAAAACGGTGAATTACACTCTAAGCCAGTGTATTATGAGTAAGATTACAATTGATTCATGTTATTTCAAAAAGTTACATTAATCACTTTACTTATTGTTTGTTAAGCAGCATGTCATCCTATTGTTAATTGTATAACAATTATTAATTTTTTTTGGATAATTTTATATTTCAGTCACTCAAATTTTTATTATAATTTAACTTCGTTGGGTTTTGTTTTCTTCTCTAGTTTTTTATAGGTTAGTGCAGATCAATTCTTCATTAGTTATGTATTTTTTTGGATAAAATATCTTCAATGCTTTTATACTTCATAAATTTATAAAGAAAAAACGAAAAAAAATATTTTATACTTGAATTATTGTATTATCATCTTCTCTCACTACTTGTCTATTCTCATTATAGTCGTCACTTATAAATCTAGCACATTAAATATAAATTTGTTAAGTAAACCCTAAGATAGAATTGATTTCATTACTAATGAAATTTATCTAATTTTAGGCTCAAGGAAAGACTAGGTGGAAAGGGTCTCGCGCCAGAGAGTGTAATGGGTACAAGTTGTGGTATTCAGGCGTAGATAACGCTAGAAATGGGGTGGGTATCTTGGCATCCTCTAGGCTCAAGGAAAATGTAGTTGAAGTTTGCAGATACCGGGATAGGATCATGATGATTAAGGTTATTATAGAAGAGGAAGTAGTGAATGTCCTTTCAGTGTACGCCCCACACGTTGGCCTAGGGGAGGGGGAGAAACGTTGCTTCTGGGATCAGTTAGATGATATACTTAGGAGCATTCCGGAGGACCAAAGAGTTTTCATAGGGGGAGACTTCAATGGCCATATAGGAAGTGCAACTGACGGGTATGATGGTGTTCATGGGGGTTTCGGTTATGGTAGCAGGAACGATGGAGGGCGTACGTTGCTTGATTTTGCTACTGCTCACGATTTGGTGATCACTAACTCCTTCTTTAATAAGAGAGATGCGAACTTGATTACGTTTCATAGCGGGGGACATTGTACCCAAATCGACTACATCTTGATTAGAAATCAGGAACGATGGGCTTGCATTGACTGTAAGGTGTTCCCTGAAGAGGCATGTGCATCACAACACAAATTGTTGGTTTTGGTGTACCGCGTTCCCCGGGCGGAGCACTCATAGGAGGGCTAAACTTGGTAAACCTAGGATCCTCTGGAAGAACTTATATGGAGCGACAATTGATGACTTTAGGAGTAAGGTTTTGTCTAATACAAGTTTGAAACTACAAACTCAAAAAATGCAGATATGTTATGGAAAAATATGGCAAATTCCATAAGAGACGTTGGTAAAATACCCTTGGGTTGTCGACGGGGAAGGCCAAGGAACATAAAGAATCGTGGTGGTGGAACGACGAAGTCCAAACTAAGGTGAAGACAAAACATACTTGCTTCAAGGAGTTTCTACAATGCAATGACGACGAAGAAAGGTCGAGAGCTAAACAAAGATACCAGGAGGCAAAGCGGGAAGCCAAGAAAACGGTAGCTAAAGCAAAGGATAAGGCATACGAGGAAATGTACAAGAGATTAGACACCAAGGAAGGACAAAATGGCATCTTCAGACTTGCAAAATCTAGGGAGATTAGGAAAAAGGATCTATGTAACATTAGGTTATTAAGGACAACAATGGTGTTCTTTTAGCGAAAGATCACGATATTAAGAGGGTTTGGGGTAGTTACTTCTTTGGCTTATTTAATGACGGTGCCTCTCCATGTAGAGATAGTATCGTTGATGGTTTAGCCGACTATCATACTACGGCCAATGACTGCCCTACAAGTAGGATTGGGTTTGAGGAAGTCAAAATGGCTCTTAGAAAGATGGGAAGGGACAAAGCTGTCGGTCCTGATCAAATTCCTATCACTGTGTGGTTGGCCCTAGGAGAAGAGGGAGTTAAGTGGTTGACCAACATCTTTAATATATTTTAGAGACTGCCAAGATGCCAGAGGAGTGGAGAGAGTCTACGGTGATACCAATCTATAAAAATAAAGGAGATCCCCAACGTTGTGGTAACTACAGAGGTATTAAACTCCTCAGCCATACCATGAAGCTATGGGAAAGGGTGATAGAGGCTAGGTTGAGACAAGTTACTAGGGTTCGGAAAACCAATTTGGCTTTATGCCAGGCAGGTCTACCACGGAGGCGATTCATCTACTTCGACGGCTTATGGAGAAATATAGGGAAAAGTCTAGAGATCTTCACATGGCGTTCATTGACCTTGAGAAGGCTTATGATAGTGTTCCCGCGATACGATCTGGAAGACTTTGGAAACGAGACGGATCCCAACTGCTTATATCCGGGCGATTCGTGATATGTATTATAGATCTACTACTTACGTCAGGACTACAGTTGGCGACACCGAGGCATTCCCGGTTGAAATCGGACTCCACCAGGGGTCGGCTCTTAGCCCTTACATCTCGCCTTGATTATGGACGACATCTATTGTGCGACACCAGACGGTGTACCATGGTGTATGCTTTTCGCTGACGACATTGTCTTAGTTGCTGAAACAAAATATGAGTTGAATAGTAGACTGGCTACCTGGAAGACTGCTTTGGAAGAAAAAGGTTTAAGGATCAATATTGAAAAGACAGAGTATTATGTTCAAACTTCAATGGGAACCAAAACGATGAAGATGTAGAAGTATGCATAGAAGGACACGTTCTCCCCTCAAAGGATTGTTTCAAGTACCTAGGGTCTATGATACATAAAGATGGGGGTGTAGATGATGACGTTACACACCGTATAAAGGCGGGATGGCTAAAGTGGAGGGCCGCTACTGGAGTTCTGTGTGACAAGAAGGTCCCTCTAAAACTTAAGGGAAAATTTTATAGAATGGCAATAAGACCAGCGCTGTTGTATGGATCAGAATGTTGGGCAACCAAGAAGGATCACGTAAGGAGGATTGAGGCCGCAGAAATGAGAATGCTTCGATGGACATGTGGTAGGACTCTGAGGGATATGACGACAAACTCTGCTATTAGGATGTCCTTGGGGGTGGTGTCTGTTTCCGAAAAATTGAGGGAGGGAAGACTACGGTGGTTTGGGCATGTCCTTAGGCGACTACCGTCGGATGCGGTAAGGAGGGTAGAGTCGATTACAGTCGACGGTGCCAGAAGGAAAGGACGACCAAGGCGAAAGTGGGAAGACTGCTTGAGATCTGATTTGAGGGATTTAGCCCTTACCGAAGACATGACCTCTGATAGGAAAATATGGAGGCTAAAGACTAGGGTAGTCGAGTAGTGTGGGTCACATCTATAGGGTGTATCATTTCTGTCTTTTTTAATGTCTTTGTAGTATTTTCCATGACTTTACTTTTATACGTTTCTGTTATTGGTATTTATGAAAGATTAGAACTGGGCTTGCTAACGTTGACTTCTGTGTATCATTCTCTTCATGTTTCCTCTTTTAAATTTAGCCGGATCTTATGTT